GTATGATAAAATTATCAGTTTGCACATATATCTAAAATTATATAAAACAAATATGAATCATTTTCCTTCTTGGAAAGTGTGATATGTTGATATAGTAACTACAAAAAAACATCGTAGTTTTTCAGGTTATTATTAGACGATGTTAATTTGTTGAATATTTTGTGGTGCCTGACGATGACGACTATTACCAATACTCCTAGTCGCCTGAAAACAATTGTGTCCTTGGTCCTAAAATTCTATTTTCGGGGAAATCGATCTTGAACTTAAGAACAACAATACATGTATTTTAAAACCTATTCGATCAAATTCTGTGGAATTGTGCACATACCATCCTCGATAATCTCCAGGATATACGTTACGATCACTCTCCACTATACCCTGGATGCATCCACGGCTTGGCCCGATGATTTTATTACCTCCCTTGGCTGGCTTTTTATCCAATCAGGTGTCTACGCTTTGAAGTTGAGCGAACTAATCACAACTCACTTTCGCTTCTTAAATTATCTAACCGTTAAATTTGGCAACACAATTGATGCAGAGGTACTCTGAAAGAGGTAGAAGGAGTTCTTTTATATTTTTTTTGAAAGTTTCAGATCTGTCAATTTGTCTGTATTATTTCCTAAAAACATCTGAGTGGCACTGCGAACAAACCTTCTTGACTGCGACCGCTATCTTTGTTGACACTGGCAAGCTCAGTTGTAACGGCGGCTTAGCTGATTGGCTACTGTGAGAATGCTGAGCCAGCAAAGGGAGGTAATATAATCATCGGGCCAAGCCGTGGATGCATCCAGGGTATAGTGGAGAGTGATCGTAACGTATACCCTGGAGATTATCGAGGATGTGCACAAGCATGTGCTATATGAAAATAACTTGGAAAATAACAATAGTATGTTAAAGCTCTTGAAATAAATAAGATTGTAAGATTATTGTATTATTTTTTATATTTATTATTATTATTATAAATTTCTCCCGTACCAGGTTGTATTTTTGTTGTTTTAACTTGTTTTAGTTTCATAGCTTACGAATTACATTAAAATAAAGCATACGTAAGGGCAATGTTTTAATGTTTCATTTGCATGTCCATAATCATGAAAATAACTTCCAGATTGTTCCATTTCCATGTCACGTGATCAAACTGAGTTTGCTGATTGGTCCAGTAACCGTTTAGAATAGTCTGGAACTATCAATTTATGTTATTGTACGGAGATAAAACAATGTAAAACCACTTCCTAGGCTATATATCACGATGAAATTTAGCATGGACTCAGAATATGCAGTAAAACATACTCTTAGCTTCCTACCTCAATTAGGAGTGCTGCTACTACTACTTCTGCAACAACAACAACAACAACAACAACAACAACAACTACTACTACTACTACTACTACTACTACTATTTTGGTTGACACCTATCATTGTATCCCTACTGCGTAGATCGATGTTCATGGTTTTGATCACTGGATTGTCTGGACCAATCTTGATATTTTTCAAACCTCTGCCATATAGGTGGCATATTGCTGAGCGCGGCGTTCAACAACAAATAAACAAACTAATGCTATGCATGATAACTAAAGAAGCCCACTTTAGGGTTATTGTCGGCGAGGTTGTCAGGGTAATTGTAAGTTAGGTGATCAGGGGAATTGTCCAAGAAATGGGAAGCGTTTTTGTTAGCGAGGTTGTCAGGGTAATTGTAAGTTAGGTGATCAGGGGAATTGTCCAAGAAATGGGAAGGTAATTGTCCGCAAGGTTGTCAGGTTAATTGCTAGCGAGGTTGTCAGGTGAGGTGGTCAAGAAAATTTTCAGAGAAATGGGAAGGGTAATTGTAACTAAAGAAGCCCATTTATAATTGTAAGGATATGATAACTGCAGTAACAGTGTAAAGGATAATTGGCTAAGGAACGCAACTGTTCATACGATGCATTACGTCACTATTCCTCCAGAAAACGGAATCATATAAGCAAAAACACACACACACACTCTCCAGCAATCTGAAGCAATCAGTTTTCAACATTAGCATCCCACGAAGTGTTGGTCTTTCTATCATAATGCAAAATATCTAAATATCCGAAGCAATGAACTTCAAGGCTTCTCATTAAAGAGCTTGGTTGATCCTTTGGGAAATATAACACATTAGCAGCGCCGTGTTGTGTGTAATTGAATACATTATCTTCTAGTTGCCTGAACTTGACGCTTATTAAAGATGACATCGATTCATTTAAATTAAATTGTGGCGCCAGTTAGCCGCCCAGGCTGTGTGTGGAGCCCAGCTTGTGGGTTTTCCATCACTTTCTTCTGAAGAATAATGCCAGTTATTTACCGTTAGGTGTGACTTGTTTACCTAGGAAATCAATCGCAAAGATCTTGACTCGGCGTCTTGCGAGACACTGTTCACAAAACGGTTTTGCACTTGATGAAAAACGTGTGACGAGGTGTTATAGAGTTAAAGAAAGAATCATTAATAACGTTTCTTTATTGGGTTTGCCTTTTTGTTCTGGTGCTAAACACTGGCATGATGATTCTGGGATACAAACCATGTCAGTGATCTATTTCACTGGACACTGCTTGGACATTGGACAATGCAGTGCTCGGGATGTTTATTTGTGAGCACGGAATGTGTGGGTTTGTCATGGAATTGTCAGCAAAATTACCAGAAGGCTATCATGGGAATTGTCCGAGAAATGGGAAGGGTAATTGTCCGCCAGGTTGTCAGGGTAATTGCTAGCGAGGTTGTCAGGTGAGGTGGTCATGAGAATTTTCAGAGAAATGGGAAGGGTAATTGTCAGCAAGTTTGTCAGGGTAATTGTATGTTAGGTGATCAGGGGAATTGTCCGAGAAATGGGAAGGGTAATTGTCCGCCAGGTTGTCAGGGTAATTGCTAGCGAGGTTGTCAGGTGAGGTGGTCATGAGAATTTTCAGAGAAATGGGAGGGGTAATTGTCAGCAAGTTTGTCAGGGTAATTGTATGTTAGGTGATCAGGGTAATTGTCCAAGAAATGGGAAGGGTAATTGTCCGCCAGGTTGTCAGGGTAATTGCTAGCGAGGTTGTCAGGTGAGGTAGTCAAGAAAATTTTCAGAGAAATGGGAGGGGTAATTGTCAGCAGGTCTGTCAGGGTAATTGTAAGTTAGGTGATCAGGGGAATTGTCCGAGAAATGGGAAGGGTAGTTGTCAGCAGGTTTGTCAGGGTAATTGTAAGTTAGGTGATTAGGATATTTGTCCGAGAAATGGGAAGGGTAATTGTCAGCAGGTTTGTCAGGGTAATTTTAAGTTAGGTGATCAGGGGAATTGTCCAAGAAATGGGAAGGGTAATTGTCCGACAGGTTGTCAGGGTAATTGCTAGCGAGGTAGTTAGGGTAACTGTTAGTGAGGGGCTCAGTGACGTACCAACAGGGGGATTGTTAGTGGGGTTGTCAGAGTATTGTCAGAGTAACTGTCAGCGAGGTAGGCAGTGAAGGTTACAGGTGAATTGTAAGGGAAGTAAGAGAAAAATGAAAAGGAGAATTGACAAAGAAGTGGGCTGGGAATTATAAGGGAAGTTAGTGAGAAGTGAACAGGGGAGGTTTTAGAGAAGTGGGCAGGATATTATCAGTGAGTTTGTCAGCAGAATTGTTGGAGAAGTGGTCAGGGACCTATGATGGAAGTAAGAGGGAAGATGAACAGGGGAATTGAGAAAGAAGTGGGCAGGGAATTATAACGGGAGAAATAAGTAAGAGAAATGTGAACAGGGGGATTGTCTGTGAAGTTGGCACGAAAATTGTAAGGGAAGGGAGAGAAAAATGAAGGGAATTGTCAGAGAAGTTGGCAGAGGAATTGTAATGGGAATTGAGAGAAAACTTAAAAAGGGGAATTGTTAGAAAAGTAGGCAGAGGTATTGGAAGATGAACTGTCACAGTCATGGGCAGGTGATTAGTCATAGTAGTGTTTCATAGTAGGGAAGTAAGAGAAAAATGAAAAGGAGAAATGACAAAGAAGTGGGCTGAGAATTATAAGGGAAGTTAGTGAGAAGTGAACAGGGGCGGTTTTAGAGAAGTGGGCAGGAAATTATCAGTGAGCTTGTCAGCAGGTGATTAGTCATAGGAGTGTGGTAGAGGTCAAGTATCAGCGAATATCAGCATGGTGATAGAGCAATCTAAGGCATGATCAATACATCATGGAAGCGTCATTTACACACTCTGCCAGTGAGGTTCAGGATTATTATATTACAGAATATTTTCAACTGACTGTCCGTGATATCATACGTTTCACTAATTACATTTTTGGTAAATGATGCCATTGGACGTCAGGAGGCTGGGTGTCTCACTCTGCCGTTGAACGTCGATAATTACCGTAATTACATTTTTGGTAAATGATGCTGATCAACCGAGGGATAATTAATTACCTTACATGAATAGACGTGATATCTTTCCGCTCCACACTATCAACAGATGAATCGTTCCTCAAACGAATACATTTGGGATCCCTGTAGTTACTTACACCCCAAAACACCCAGGTCATTTAAGATACAACAAAGTGTGAGTGTGTCATGATGAGGGGGGATCAGTCCTCTACTCCACACTGATATGTTTCCATACAACCTTTTGCGCGGTTTGTGTATTACAGGTTAGCAATGACAAATATTTTATATTTTAAATAAAATATGAAAAGAGGGTGCCAGCAGAGCCAATTTTTCAAAATTAATCTACGGCAGGAAATATTTGGTTATCCTGCTAATTAAAAGCATCTGATTGAATACATGCTCTCATCAGTAATAAGAGAGGGATAATGATGATACGATCTGAGGAGGAGGGGAAGGAGGTCTAGAGTGATGATGAGTCGTAGGACGACGGCGATTATTATTATTATTACATGTATTATGACATGATAATCATCATTATCCTGTTGGAAAATTATTCTACGACATCTAATTTCATCAGTTCCATTACATGTAATAATGTGAACAGGGATGATGGTATTAATGACGACGATGATGATGATGATGAGGACGATGATGGTGATGATTTGAGGAGGAGAAGAAGGAGGGTGAGAAGGACACTGATTTGAAGGAAGTCTATGACGACAACGATGATGATGATGATGATGATGATGATTTGAGGAGGAGAAGAAGGAGGGTGAGAAGGATACTGATTTGAAGGAAGTCTATGACGACAACGATGCTGATGATGATGATGATGATGATGATGATGATGATGATGATGATGATTTGAGGAGGAGAAGAAGGAGGGTGAGAAGGATACTGATTTGAAGGAAGTCTATGACGATAATGATGATGATACGATATGAACGATATAAGTGTTAACACCTCATTACTTCGATAAGTACACCACGCGACTTCGAACATTAAGAAAGCTCTGATCAGGTTTGGTAGTAAACTCCTGACAGGGCACAAAGTGTTGAAAGGAGAATGTCCTTCCCATCTCTATCTTCATTAAACATTGTAGATAGTCAATAATCTGTTGCTGAAAAACATTCGGAAACTTTGTTTCATCACGTAACTCCTTGCAGCGTCTGGCGTCCTCTGTAGAGTTCCAATTCAATAAACTAAGTAAAGAAATTTTGTTGGAAACTCGCTTAAAGTAGAATTTTCAACAACACTTCAATCTGTAACGTCGTAATGAAGATGGCTGTTGACAACATCGTCGCTCCTTGTGAAAACAAGGCGCCTCAAACCGACCCATACAAGTTGAAAATGTGTCTGTGAGTTGTTGTGTCAGGAAATAAACCCACAATGGCGGCAAACATCCCTTAAACGTAGCTAAAGATTGAATAGACACGCACGATGCTAATGACGTTATAGTGACGGCATTATAACGGCCGCCAGATAAACGGCTTTCGTTTTCAATAGACCACAGGATCCATATGTCTGGCACTTGTGTTAAGGGATGGAGGAGTGTTAGGTAAATTGGGAGAAATAAACACATAATAGCGGCATCGGTTCCAGTTGCTGGTGTCCGTTTAGTCTTTTGTTGCCCACGGTTACGGAACAGCATGACGCTTAGTAATGTTGGATCATTAGTGTTCTAAGAGTTCATTGTTTGTACTCTTGACATATAACAACGTTACCTTATCAATGGGTGTTGTTCGTGTGTTGGGCCTTTGATGCTTTCATCCCTTGAATTAATTACATCACTGGGAACATAACACTGTTGGCCAACCTATGTTGGTTGGTTGGCCACACGCAGCAATATTCCAGCTATATGGCGGCAGTCTGTAAATAATCGAGTCGGGACCAGAAAATCCAGTGATCAACAGCATGAGCATCGATCTACGCAATTGGGACACGATGACATGTGTCAACAAAGTCATGAGCCTGACCACCCGATCCCGGTAGTCACAATGGAAACTGTTAATATGAAAATATCTTCACACCTTTTATGGATATGATTGAACGCCATGTCTATTTTCCTGTTATATTTTAGGGCGTCATTGATGACGCACGGTGGACCGTACTCAGATTATTAGGCTGTTTTGGGCACAGCACTGAAGTTTATAACACATTTCTTTTCGCTCCCGTTGGTGTGTTAAGTCACTCACGAGTTAATCACTTTTCGGCCTGTCCTAAACTGACCTTCTGTAGACGATTGATTTTAATCCTACATGTAGATTTCTTTGCGCTATGATTATTTTACTTTTATAAGGCTTTATTAATATGGCTTACAGCCTGACCACCCGATCCCGTTAGTCGCCTCTTGCGACAAGCATGGCTTACTGAAGATCAATATTCTAACCCGGACCGCGAAGATCCGTGTTAGAATTTATCTTCAGTAACCCATGCTTGTCGTAAGAGGCGACTGACGGGATACGGTGGTCAGGTTCGCTGGCTTGGTTGACACATGTCATCAGTTCCCAGTTGCGCAGATCGATGCTCATGATGTTGCTCACAGGATTGTCTGTTCCAGACTCGATTATTTACAGACCGCCGCCATATAGCTGGAATATTGCTGAGTGCGGCGTAAAACTAAACTCACTCACTCACGGGTTTCCTGTATGCTTACGATGATGTCTGTAGTTAGACAAAGGGGAGTGAAGATTTCAATGAAGGCAATGTCTCATCGACAGCCCGGCAGACATGCAAACAGACACGAGACTGACTGACTGACTGAGTTTGCTTTTACGCCGCTTTTAGCAATATTCCAGCAATATCACGGCGGGGAACACCAGAAATGGGCTTCACACATTGTACCCATGTGGGGATTCGAACCCGGGTCTTCGGCGTGACGAGCCAACGCTTTAACCACTGGGCTACCCCACCGCCCCACAGACACGAGAGGACGCAGTGAGTGACTGAATGAGTATTTACGCCGCTTTCACCAGTATTCCCGCAATAACAATGCGAGGTACACACATTGTACCCATGTTGGTAGACAAGCAGAAAACACAGACACAGATATGAAGACTATTTGCGTAAAATACGAATAATATGTATCTGAGTGAGATATGTAGCATATCTAGAGATGAAACTTCTAGCGTGAATAAGTTTAGTTTTGCACCGTATTTAGCAATATTCCAGCAATATCACGGTGGGGTGATCAGAAACGCTCTTTACACATTGTACGCAGCGGGGAATTGAACCTAATTCTTCGGGGTGACGAGCGAACGCTTTAACCACGAGGCTACCTGCGAAACTCCTGGAATCAAATTAGAGCGCCTCAGACCACACAGAGAGACACCCATTTTCCCAACAGGCGAGAGAAATAGGCGTGAGAAAACACCCAGATGCCCCACACTATCACCTCAACAAAGCAAAAATAAATAGAGACAATATATAACAGGACCACTCTGATGGCATGAAGCTCGACCTTATCCGGATTTATTAATATTACACCGTATTTTTATCTAATTTATAAAGTGGTGCTGCTTTTACCAACATTCCTGGCATGTGTTGAATGTTTTTATATTAGGCCGTCAGATTTTTGTGTCATTACGAAATTACAAGTTGGGTTTTATTGATTGGACTGTAGAAAACCGAAACCCCAAAGCGATATACTGTGATCAGATGCTGAGTTCACCTATCGGGACTGTGAGGAATATGACAAGAACGACGGGCAAGCTGGCTTTATTTGTTAATTATCTGTAGCTGTTGGAGTGTCACTGTGTCTTTCATTTCATTGTTCGTGTTTTCAATTCTCATGCCCGGAGGGCTGTTTAATCGAAAGAAATTACTTACAGAATACAACTCGACAAAAGCTACCATTGGTTAATGTTAAAGAACCCGCATGCTTGTTTGTTTTTAAATGCCACTGTCGGGATTATTTAGCTTTATGACGTCCGTCTGTTAATACGTGAACATTCGTGTCAGGATAATCCGGTGATTGATATCGTGAGCATCGATCCAAGACGTCGGGAACGACGTCACGCAGTCAACGACGTTACCGTCCCTGATCATCCGTCACGCGTAAATATTTTTGTGCATTAGCTCTTCATCGCACCGTGAAGATCCGGGTTGGAAATGATCTTCAACAACCCATGCTTGTCTCCACCCGTGAAGATCCAGGTTAGAAATGATCTTCAACAACCCATGCTTGTCGTAAGAGGCGACTGACGGGATCGGGTGGTCAGGCTCGCTGACTTGGTTGACACATGTCATCGTGTCCCAGTTGCGTAGATCAATGCTCATGATGTTGATCACTGGATTGTCTGGTCCAGACTCAATTATTTACAGACCTCCATCATATAGCTTTAATATTGCTGAAGTTCGGCGTGAAACAACAAACATACAAAACCTCCCTCATCAGTATTACACGTTATGGTGTAACTGAAAGAATGAAAATATTAGATACATATCGGCGTGAAACCACACACACTCAAATTGAGACCCTTCATTGTTATTTTTGTATAGCATGACATACATGTCCACTGAAACTATGTTTCATAATTCACCTTGAAAGTATGAGAAAGTGAAATGCGACCTTGCCCGTGTTTATCGTCTAAAGCAAAACCTGGATAATCCGGTTCCTACATGCATGATGCATGCAATGATGCATGTTAACATTAAAGATTACACAGGGGTTATGCAGGGATAGACGTAGCGAAAGAGAGGCAGATAATGTTTTAATCAATATCTTGATTTAGGATGTGTGATAATTTTGCCGTTGTCCGTTTCTTAAACACCTGATAATGATACCGTTTGGGCACAGTTTCGCATTAATACATAACTACTTGCGCGCACTCAGGGAAATTGGATTAAGGAGCTTCAATGATAATGCAAGCAAACAGGATTTGAAACAATCACTGACACTGTAAAACCATACCGTTTCTGCACGAACGAATGTGAAACTGAATGAAGCACGAGTAACCTATTTAATTACAATCGGGAAACATGAATACACAATGTCATTTACAAAGAGATCAAAAGGACCGATGCTCATGCTGTTTATTTGGTCTACTCCCATTTGCGAGAACTCCCAGTTGCGAGACTCCCAGTTGTGAGACAGTGGAGAAGGTAAGGAGCAAAGAAAACACACCTTACTCCCCTATCTGATAGAATGGATTAACCCCAGCTAATTAGGGATTAGCTATTTAACTGAATCTTGTGGAGGTAGCTTAAAAGAAAAAGTAATTAACCTACTCAGGTAAAAGGCTTTAAAAGATAAACACTTTGTGTAGGTAACTTCGTGACCTTTCGAAAGAGAAATTAATTGACCTACTCAGATTTACGTGCTTGAAAAATTTAGCAATAACTGTTGTAACTATAATTAATCCAAATGTATTTATTAACCTGTGACTGCTCTTTCCGATCACTTGTATTACAAGAACAAGCAGCGGCAGACTTGTACCTACACAGACATTCAACGACTACATCACTACAACCTGGGTGGACGACGACGCTCGCTTTCCCTTGCCCATATGGAACCATCATGACACATTCGGCCCCAGGACTAACAACAACATTGAGGGGTTTCACAGTAGATTGAATGCTACACTCAGTCATCGCCATCCAAACATATTCAGGTTTATGGAAATCATCAGGAAAATAGAGAAGGCAGAGAAGGCCAAGCTGTGCCAACTCGACCTGGGAGGCGCCCCTCGATCGAGGAAACGCGTGTACAGGGAAATAGACAATCGACTACATAGACTCAAAGATCAACTTGCAGATGGAACGAAAATCACATGCAGTATCTTGATGCAGTCGGCAAACTGCTGAAAATATGAAAAGTGTCAAAATTTCCAAATATGGACCCATGTAAAAATGTTATTTATAACGACACACAAACATCATAATAACGCAAATCATCAAAATGTGTGAATAAAAAATGATAATGAAGTATTTAATGAACTATTTC